AAGGAAGACAAGGCAATCGTCAACACAGACCAAACAACAGAATAAAGAGACAAGGAACAATAAGGGAAGTGGGGGGGAAGGGGAGGGGGGGGGGTGGGGGGGGGGGGGGGGGGGGGGGGGGGGGGGGGAGGGGGTACGGAGATTTTAGGTAGCTCATTGTATTTGAAAGCAGAGGGTTTTGGGTGCGGTTGACCCATTGGACTGGTCTCTGTAACTTAAAACCAGAAAATGTTTCACCCAGCTGCAGAGACATCATTTTATCAATGCTCTGGGAGATGAATTTCTATTTTCAACTTTTATGTCTGCATGTTTTGACTTTTTGGGGCAAAACACAGGGTACCCCTCCTCATGCTACACCCTTGTTAACCCAGGTTAACCTGTACATATGTATTAGGAGGGTTTTCATACCATATCAACAGAGAGCCATGTTTGTTTCTTACTCTTAACAACGTTTCATTTTCTTGTTCGGTGTCATGAAAAGCGAGAAATGAATAATCAGTGTATTTATGAAGTCAGTTTATTATATTCACAGTTTTGTTGGAGCATGTGAGAGCATATAAAAAAGCCTGTTAAATGTGGGCCTCCTGAAATAAACAATTTTGTTGAAATGAATAGCTTTCAGAGACTTTAGATACTTTGGTTGTGTTTAGTAGGATATTAATATTTGAATAAACAGTTTGACACATGGGAAAATATTTAAATAGTAATAATAATAATAACATTTATTTATACTGGGCAAATTCAACTAAACAGTTTTCAAATGTCCCTAATACCTTTAATACTTAATAGGTAGGGGAATTGATGCTTTTTGAAGTGTTAGCTGGTGGGGCATTTGATCATCTAAACTACCAACATGATGGAAATTTAAATGTTTCAAAAAAGTCAAATGCCTAGGGTTTTTGAACAGGGGGCATGGGCGATTTTGGAATGACTGGTACATAAAGGGTTGAAGGAGCTGTGTCATGAAATTTCACCACTGGAAAACGTCCACTTTATTGAGCAAAACATACAAATAACTGCTAAAAAAAATAACCAAAGGTTTAAACTAGGGGAGCAAATACAAACAGAGGGCATGGATTGGCAAAATTAAGATTAAAACTTGTGGAGTTTTTAAAAGCTGTTCAACCTGGCAGTTTTTCAAAGATGAAAATTTAAATTTAGTTTTGGTCAGTCAAATTATAATAAGCATGACACTGTGACACATATCTGTAAAATTCCACTCATAAACCCCTCCCCCAACCCAAGTTTTGGTCCACCTACTTGTAAGCAAATAGAAAATCAACATGATTTGAATACAACAAAAATCAACATATTTAACATTATTTCAAATACTAATGAAAAAGGTCTTTGGGACCATCCTTTTGGTATTTAAATCACTGCGCAAGACTTCAAAACATCTCTTAAAACCCTTCCAGCAGAAAGTTTGTACATATAATTTCCGAGTGAGGCATTACCGCAGGGCTTCCACTCATTTCTATCAACATCATGGACTTGTAATATCATATCTTGGTGCCAACTCTGTCTGGATCCAAATCCACCAAACACAAAAATCTGCTCCTTAAAACACACAGCACTTGCTGGAAACCTTGGTGCTAAAGCATTTGCAAGCACAGTCCAAACATTTTCTTCTTTATCATACACTTCACATGGGCTTCCACCAGATCCCTCAACTCCACCAAAGACAAAAATTCTGTTGTTTAAACTAACACCACAGGGGTTTCTTCTTTTTCCCTGCATTGATGCAATTAGATTCCATGAATTAGTTTCAGGATCAAACTTTTCAACTGAGTTATAAGCCTCAGATGAACTCATCCCTCCAATTGCATAGATGTAGTTTTCATCAGATACTGCACATGCTCTAGATCTTGGACCACAGAGAGGGGCATCTTCTTGCCATAGGTCTGTATCAGGGTTGTATCGTAGCACTGTACTCAAAGTTCCCTTATTGTTATCTACCCCACCAATCAGATACAGAAATCCACGGAATGTAACAGCAGCAGGATGAGTGATTTCCTGCCTAAAAGACTTGATGGATGACCATTTGTTGATGATTGGATCATACCTTGCAGCCACAGAACCACTTATATTTCCACCCACAACATATAATTTACTCTGGCAAACACTTGTGGTAAGAGCAAACCTGTTTCGAGAACCTTTCTGGCATCGCAACTTGTACCACTTGTTCTCCGATGGAAGGTAACAAACCAACTTGCTTCCATCTACACCTCCGCAACCAAATATGACATCCTCATAGGTTCTTAGGCAACTTCTTGGTGGTTGCTTCAAAAAGCATGCTTCTGTTCCATCCGTAGACTCTTTNTTTAAACTAACACCACAGGGGTTTCTTCTTTTTCCCTGCATTGATGCAATTAGATTCCATGAATTAGTTTCAGGATCAAACTTTTCAACTGAGTCATAAGCCTCAGATGAACTCATCCCTCCAATTGCATAGATGTAGTTTTCATCAGATACTGCACATGCTCTAGATCTTGGACCACAGAGAGGGGCATCTTCTTGCCATAGGTCTGTATCAGGGTTGTATCGTAGCACTGTACTCAAAGTTCCCTTATTGTTATCTACCCCACCAATCAGATACAGAAATCCACGGAATGTAACAGCAGCAGGATGAGTGATTTCCTGCCTAAAAGACTTGATGGATGACCATTTGTTGATGATTGGATCATACCTTGCAGCCACAGAACCACTTATATTTCCACCCACAACATATAATTTACTCTGGCAAACACTTGTGGTAAGAGCAAACCTGTTTCGAGAACCTTTCTGGCATCGCAACTTGTACCACTTGTTCTCCGATGGAAGGTAACAAACCAACTTGCTTCCATCTACACCTCCGCAACCAAATATGACATCCTCATAGGTTCTTAGGCAACTTCTTGGTGGTTGCTTCAAAAAGCATGCTTCTGTTCCATCCGTAGACTCTTTTAGGGCACTTAGAACCATATCCATACACTTCTTCTCGTTTTTCACAAACTCATGTTGCAAAACAATCGTGAAAAGGAAATTGGGTGAGATATACACACAACGCACATGGCAAAAAAGGTGACTAAAGCTTCGTTTTCTGCGAGCGTTTTTCTGAGTCCACTTCAAGATGGCCTTAAAAACTTCTTCTTCACCTTTGACCACTATGTCATCACTTGAAATCCATTCCTCAACTTGATCAAGACTCAAATTGAGAAAGTCTTCTGTTTCTGTAACAGCCATAAAATTAGCAAATATAAAGCTCCTGGCTTCTTGTTTTAATTCAGCACATTGATACTTTACACTGGAATAATAAGCCATCAAACAGGATGAAATACTCAAAGTTTGTTGGATGTACTCACTGCAGACATATTTCAGGCTTGGAATAAGAATATAATCTGCAACAGCCATCAACTCATACGCATTCTTGTCATTGACATCAGCATGTCCTGTGTACAAATACTCCAGCACTTCTTCCATCAAAGCTTTGCTTGTATCTTTCAGTCGAATGACTCCTTCTTTTTTTTCTTTCATTTCCGTGTTGAGGGCATTGTAAAAGAACGGGCTGGCAGCACACAGCACGTTTCTGTGAGCTTTCAAGCGAGCTAGACCATCGCCGGATCCAACTTCTAGAGTCACATCACACAAATGCTCGTTTCTTCGCAGGCAATCCAGGCGTTTCATTATTTGCAAACAAAAGGTTTCCTTGTCAGTCTCAATTACTGGTTCAAGAAGAGAATCCATGTTAATGATAGACTGTTAAATACAGAAAAAAGGCCTCTTAAATATGAAAAATTCAAGCAAAACAAACTGAGAGAATCAGAGAAACGCGCCAAAACCGTACGCATGCGTGGTCGAATTCTTTTTCTGGAGCTGCGATCCTTTTGGCCATCGGCAAATTCTCGTTAAAAGAGAGGGCCCGCTCGACAGTACAGTCGGCCCGCGCACGACCCGCACACCTATTTACGGGTAAATATAATAAAAAGAAAGAAAAGAGGTGAGGGCACTCCTGCTACAATGGAGATAGGGAATTTGAGATGTCACGACGACGAGAGCAAAGAGAATGTCAAACAAGCAGAACGTTTATGTAGCAAAAGAACAATTTTGCATGTGCCTCACCCTTTTTTCACAGCACTACGTCGTGAAAGAACGCGAAATTATTCGTTATTATCTGCCCCTGGGTCTCCGAGGATGTGAATTCCTTAGAACCACGTTCAAGTTCAGAAAGAGAAAGAAAATTTTGTCGTCGCTCGTTTACCATGTTTACGTCCTTCATACTACCTGACAAATTAATAGGGCATTTTCACGTCGTAGTCGGGCAGTGAGGGTAAACAAATGTACAAAAAAGTGTGTTGTACGCTGCAGAGTTGTTGTTTTGCTAATTAAGAACCTATTGCTTTTTTTTTGACGTTCTCGTTGCCGTCGACGTCGTGAGACCTTAAGTAGGGACCTTATAAAACAATGACGGCGACGGCAACGGGAACATGAAAAAAGCAATGGGTTTAATCTGAAAAACAACAACTCTGCACGTGCATAACGCTTTTCTGTAAATTCTTAGCTGTACCAGAACTGCATGCGACGTGAAATGACAAAATTAGCGACCTTACGATCCGACAAAGAACAACGTCCATGGAAACGTCGCGGAAAAATAGACTTCGCATCCTTTCAAACGTTTTCGCGATTATCCGAATTCGCCCTGTTACTTAAAAGAAGGGAATTTTGTTTGGAGCTGAAGGGAGGGGGCCACGCCCGAGTTCAGACAGAGATCATACCGTTCCCGTACTCAAGTCAAACTTAAAATGTGGTCATTTCATGTCGTTGTTGTGCAGGGACAGCAAAGAAATGTACAAAAAAGCGTGATGCACGTGCACAGTTGTTTTGCTCATTAAACCTATTGCTCTTTTTATAACCGTTGAAGGGGAGTTACGTTTGGTTGAAGTTGAGGAGGCATGCATGTATAGTAAGGAACCAATTGAGTAACTCAATTAGTTTAGTGAAAGCCGGGTTGCTAAAAGTGACGATCGTGTGCGTGATAGATATAAAGTGGACAGGGTTGAGGGAATCAGCCGGGAAGAATAACTGTTATAAACGTTTTCTTCCCTGTTAAAACAAGACTGAACATTTTAAAAATTGCAAGACTTGATCAGTTTTGCAAACTGCAATTTCTTGTTCCGGATTTTGGTGACTGTAGCAGAGAAGAAAAGTGTTCCACTGTTACTTATTTATTTTATGGGATGTCTTTGAAAACAGATTGTTTATTAATTGCTGTAGATAGTTAAAGAGAAGACCCTCATTTACACCCCGTTTTATGGTTCCGGACAAATTTATGAGCGGACAAAAACTTGTACGAATCCGCCTTTCGTTTACACGGCATGCACTCGCAGAATCGTCCAAGATTTTGAACGGCAAAGTGTGCAAGTTTTTTTACCTGAGCAGAAATAAGTCACAATTTTTTAACGATATGGTTCCACTTTTAGCCGGACCCTGTAAACACCTTAACTGTGCAATTTGTTTGCACAGTTTGCGCCACTGGACTGACCACTTCAATTATTCGTTTTTTTTTGTAGCCCCCCCCCCGGGGGGGGAATGCCAACTGATTGTTTAATAGAGGTTTGCCGTTTTTTTTAAATAAAACTCAATTTGGGATACAAGGTGGGGCCACCCCAAAAAATGTCTTATGAAGAGGGGGGTCATCATATGCTACAGGAGCACCCATAACCCTCCCCCATTAAAAATGAATGGTCCCTTACCTAAACATAACTTTAAAATTCAAATATTTGAGAAATATGCACGACTTTAGATTCACTTTTACCTACCCTCAAAATTCAGTCCCAGACAATGTAATCTTTGCCCCACTAGAGACTTCAGCCTCCAGTGTTGTTCTTGGCTCTCTCCTGGTTGGATTGCACCTCCCCAGTGAAACCTCTATTAAGCGGACCCGCAATTAAGCAGACACCCTCTATTAAGTGGACACTAAGCCGGATCCTGAAATTAACTTCTTAGCAGACACCTCCATTAAGCGGATGCTGACACTAAAATAAGTTGTATTTGGCTAATTTCTATTGTTAAAAACTTCTATCAAGCGGACACCAGACTTAATTGACAATAGGAGTATTGGATTACGCCCTTGAAATACGTTCTGAAGTCAGTTAATGTTTTTGCATTTACAGACAAATTAAAGTTGGTAATGAAAGGTAATGAACTTGAACTCTAGATAGCTTCTTTAACAACATGCAACTTTATCACAGTACAGAGTAACCATTGAATGTCGATGGCTAACAGACATTGTGCAACTTTTACAACCTCCATTAAGCGCACACTTGGGAAGGTCCCGAAGGTGCCCGCTTAATAGAGGTTTCACTGTATCTGTTAAATCAAAGACCTTTTTTTATCCCATTTTATTTTTTTTTTTGTCAACTGAACTTTAAAGGCCTCATTTGGGTTAGGGATTAATTTCCTCCAAAACCCTGTTTGTTTTGGTGACTCAGTGTGTTTTTAACCAGATATGAACTAGAATATTAAATATTTAACTCATGAGACCTCAGGGAACATTACTTTAAAGTACTGAAATTGATTCACAAGAATTCAAAAGTTCTCTGGAAATCCTCCCAGCAGAAAGTTTGTACAACCATGATCCAAGTGAAGCATTGCTGCACGGCTTCCACTCATTTGCTTTGACATCATAAACTTGTAATATCATTTCTTGGAAAAAACTCTGATCTACACCAAATCCACCAAACACAAAAATTTGCTCCTTGAAATGCAGAGCACTTGCTGGGAATCTCAGGGCGAAGTTATTTGAAATTTCAGTCCAAATATTTGCTTCTTTGTCGTACACCTCACAAGGACATCCACCAGTTTCATCATAAACTCCTCCGAAAACAAAAATTCTGCCATTTAAATTTACACCACAAAGGTGTTTTCTTTGTGCCTGCATTGGTGCAACTGCACTCCAGGAAGACATTTTAGGGTCAAACTTTTCAACTGTATTCAATATGTCAAATGAATTCATTCCTCCAATTGCATAGATGTAGCTTCCATCAGACACAACACCTACTCTAGACCTCGGGCCACAACTAAGTGGGGCAACTTCTTGCCAGAAGTCTGTGTCAGGGTTGTATCGTTGTACTGTGTTCAAGGGTTCATCATCCATATCTAACCCACCAATCACATACAGACAGCCCTGGAATGTGACAGCAGCAGGAAACTTGATTTTCTGTTTGAAAGACTTGATTGGTGACCAAGTGTTTACAACTGGGTCATACCATTCAACTGTAAATTCTGCAGTACTTCCACCAACAACATAGAGCTTACTTTTGCAAACGGTTGTAGCGAGAGAAAATCTATTTCGACAGGATTGTAGTCCTGGCATCTGGTACCATTTGTTCTCAGATGGCTGGTAACAAACCAACTTGTTACCATCTTCTCCTCCAAAACCAAAAATGACTTCCTCCTGGGTTCTCAGGCAACTTCTTGGTGACTGCTTAAAAAAACATGCATCTGTTCCATCAGAAAATTCTCTCATGGCATTAAGCACTGAGTCCATACATTTTTTCTCGTTTTTCACGAGCTCGTGTTGTAAAATGACCGTAACAAGGTAGCTGAGTGGGATATACAAACAACGCAGATGACGAAATAGGGTACAGAAACTTTGCTTTCTATCAACAGCTTTCTCCGTCCATCTCAAAATGACCCTAAAAATTTCCTCTTCATCTTTGATAACCACCTCGTTACTTGAAATCCATTCCTCAACTTCCTCGGCGCTTAAACTAAGGAAGTCTTCAGTTCTCGCCACGTGCATAAAGTTGGCAAAAATGAAGCGTCTGGCGGCTTCTTGTAATTCTGAACAATGATACTTCACGCTGGAATAATATGCCATGATGCAGTTTGAAACACAAAACGTTTCTTGAATGAACTTACTGGAAAGATATTTCAGGCCGGTGAAAAGAAAGTAGTCTGCAATGGACATTAAATCGAACGCGTTGTTGACATTGATATCGACATGTCCTGTGTACAGAAACCACAGGGTACCCACACAATCTGTTTGTGTAGCCGATTCCCGGGGGGGGCACTTGGGTATTTTTTGGGTGGGTATGTGCCGCCCGGGACTCCAAATTGGCACCCCGTTCTAGGAAAAATTTCCCCCAAAATTGATACCCCGTTATAGAAATGGGCCAATTTTTTTATACCCCGTTCTAGAATTCGCCC